TACCTGCCAATTTCCGTGTGTTAACCCTATAATATGTTTTGTGCCGCTTCCACTGTAAATAGGCACTGTCTGTCTCTGCGTGCATATTGTCACTTTCAACCTCTGTACCATTATTGGATCATTTCGTAGTCACCGTTTTTTGCTCCCTGTATGTGTTTCATGTTAAATCAACGGACCCGTGTAGGCGCTCATGGATCCCACTTCATCCTTCACCACCTCTCCTTCCCCCACCTCTCCACCTTCACTCACCACTCCTTCCTCTCTCTTTCCTCCCCTTTCACAGGCTATGCTCACTGCTCGGCCATGTCTTTCTCTCTTTAGTCTTTAGTGAGTAAGAGAACACGAAAACAGCTACACGTAAAATGCACCTTCGTATTTTCTTTTTTTTTTTTAAATTTGTTCAGAGAGTTTCTACTTCTCTCAGATTAATTCATTCCAGATGTTTTTATTAATCTGTCTGAAGCCACTACCAATCAAATTACACGAATTTACTAGACATAAGTCATCTAAAATTAAGAAAATCTTTACAATAGAATTAAAATACAATTTATTTTAATTCTGATAAACCTTTTGCTAATATTTACTTTTTATACTAGACAAATATGGTTTTTCTCTTGAATAGAAACCATAGTAAATTATAGTAAGCGTAATATCAGATCACTTTTCTGTTATATTGTGTTACTTTATAAAATCAACTTCTTTTTAATCTAATTGCAGAATTAAATAATAATATATCTGCATATAAAAGAAGAAAATTTCACTACATCTTTTTCTAAGATACGAATGGTTTTCTTGATATTATACTGGATAAATTAATAAAAGTTTCATCGTGTGGAGCAAATATAAAATAAATAAATAAGAGTGAATAAAAACAAATTGTTTATAAATGAGTAAATAAGTTTTATTTAATGTGGCGTTAAATATTTCAATTTACTATAATATATAATTATTTCACTTACCTTTCTTGTAACTTTTCCTACCATTTCAGTCCACGTTCCATTTTCCATTAATCGTCCGAAATATTCGTCAATTGGCTTAACTATGCTATAACTAATTAAATACACAAAATTAAAATTCTTTACATATATTTCGAAACAAAATTATTAAAATCGTGTTTTAAGCAAAACTGTTTATTAAATACGATGTTCTGTCAGTAACGAATTATCGAATATGCTGCTAGATTACTGAAAATTTTGTTATTTGAAATTGCTTTACATTTTCTACCAATGCAAGCTACCGTATGCTTAGAGGGATTCTTGAAGCTAATCAAAGAATGTGCGTAAGCTTTTTAATCAGCATGACGATACTATAAGCTAATTAAAGTTTCGTACAGAAATGTATAGATAACAGAAAAACACAGACTTTTATATAATGTATGTAGAATATAACTCAGTTAACAAGTTCTTTCATTTTAAGTCTTTTCATGTAAGACGTTTAAGTTTAAAGTTTATATTTCTTATATAATTTTCCGTAGCAAAGAAATTTGTACATTTTTCTCTAACAAAAATTTTTATTCACGAAAATTTTTTGATTTGATAGACTTAAATGTCTGTCTACTCTAATCTATGTTTAACATTACATTTTGTCCATGGCAGTTACGTGTTAAGAGAGATAGTTCTTACTTAACAACTTTTCCTCTTATAAAATATTTTTAATTGGGTCTCTAAAAAATTTTCACCGAATTCAACTGTATATTTCTATGTAGTATTCTATAACTTTTTTCCTTTGCTACGTAAGAATTATCTGGGCAAAAACAACTTTGAAAGTATTTTTCAACATACCGAAATTTGAGTTTCTGTTGTAGAGCTTCGAACACACGAAAATGAAGTCCTCCTGTCATTTTACTTTCAGATTCGTCAAGTGTTACAAAATTCCGATTCTGAAATACATAAAAAGACAAGTGTAATAAAGTACAGCTATGTTCTAAATGTGTATATCGTACATCTTACCTTCATTGCAGCTAACTTCCATTCGTACGTATCGTTTACATTAGCTGTAAAAATTATATAATTAATTAAAATGAGATAAAAATTTAACTAAATTTTAAAATACATTTGCTATATAGCTTTAATATAAATCATTTTTAACTTTGTATATTAAGAATTTTTTAAATATCAAAATATTATATTTTCTTAAAATTAATATATAATATGTATCGTAAATTTAAAGAAATACTTTCATAGTTGATCAAGTTTCTGATTCAATGTCTCTTCATATGTCATATTGTATTTTTTATTTTGTGATCCAGTTTCATAAAAAAAACTTACACAGAAACAAAGAACAAACAATGGGAATTTATACGTTTAAATTTTTTCACATTGCTGCCAAATTAATGACTTTTCGTAATTCAGCAGTAGCAACTTGACATGCATGCATAGGAAATACTTTTGACAAAACATAGCTCTAGTGACAAAACATTTCAATAATGTTATAGTAGAGTTACACTCCACCATTTTTCCTAAACCATATCTGCTTACACACAACTCAATGAATATCTTAATCACGCTATTTGTATGTTCTGTACATGCCTATAATGTATATAATGAAATTCAGGTTACCCCACATTTTCTTACGTATAATCTCAAAAAACGTTTTTAATAAACAATTTTTAAAATGTTTATAATACATTAAAATTCTTTTAATTCAAGTTTTCGTAAACATCATATTCAATGAATCAACATTTCAAAAAATTATTAGAATTTTCAGCTTCGTTCAATATTAGAATCCATATTTGAAATTACACTGTTATTTTTTGGCTGTTGTAACAGAGTAGGTATACAGCTGAGAATGTGAGAAATAATAATGTTCGTTGTTTATTATTATTTTTTTTATCTTTCGTAAGTTCGTATTCCTTATTTGTGATGTACCGTATATTTCTGCAGATAGGACGATAGTTGAATCATAAACCCCCCCCAAAATCCACATTCGTCTTATAGGACAGATATAAAAAGAGACTAGACTAAAAATTATATAAATCAAAATCATTATAAAATAAAACAAATCACTCATCAATGTATTTAAATAGAACAAACGACGTTTTTGTGAATGTTGGGGTCGCAAACCATAGATTAAATACCACTGGTCTAGGTCATTATCCGAATGCCTGAGTCAGTGCGAATGTTTGCAATAATTTCAAGGCAGTACCATCAGATGCAAGAGAAAAAAATTTGTTTATTCGAAAAATTAAAAATAGGATATAGTTCCGTATATGCTATACAGTATTATTAATCAGATGATGATTACTGATCTAAACTAAGTTGATAGGCCGTTAATACTTTGGGGGTCATCTTATAGGGCAGATATATGTTAAAAGTATAAAAATTTGATCAAAATATATACCTCGTCTTATCTGAAAATCGTCTTATCTTCGGAAATATTTGTAAATTAAAATGCATGTTTTTTCTTCCTATATTTTCACTGTAAGCCTTTCTCCATTATAACAACTACATACCTACTTTTGCACCCACAATTATATCAGAGAGGTAGCATAACGTTTCATTTAATTTTTAAAATTCCCCTTTAATATTTTTACATGTGTTAAACTCAGAGAATCTTGAAACATCGAAGAACGCAAAAATAAGTAAAAAGAACTATTCATGAGTTTTTCTGTATAGATATATGTTAGTGTGTGCATGATTTTGTTTATTCTGTTTGAAGCTTAAAAACGCCTATGCCATTTTTCGAAATAATCTGAAATTTTGCATAAAGGATTTTGTATTTAAGAAATTTATAATATCATATTTCAATAATTTAACGTCACGAAGTGAAATGTGAAAGGGATCTTGTGTATCTGGAGTACAGTCAGACTTAACGACGATTTTACTCGTTATTAGCACTTACAATTTTTTATAAACATATCCTTCATATGAGGACTAAAATGTTTGAAGTTTTATAATAATTAAAAATAAAACTTATTAAAATAAAATGTGATAACAGTTAGCGCAACTAAATCTTGCCAAAAAAATTAAGTAACTTGTTGCTGAGCTGTTTAAATTTCGAGTCATTTCTACATTATTATAATAATTTGTGCCCAAATGCTACTCGTTGATTACAGTCACATTCATATTTAAATATATTTTTAATTAACTCACTATCAGTTCATATGTTTTGAAATCATAGACATTTAATTTTAAGAATGTCTCTCCCTCAAATAGATTTCAATTAACCGCGACATTCGCGAAGTTCGTATTAATTAAATTTTTAAATTATATTCGCGAATAATTACTACAATTCATAGAACAACAAAAGATCACTATTATACCATATTTTCCTATTATAAATCTATTTTATATAAGTTTTACAACATAACAGGAATTAGGTATATGCAGTTAAAATAAAACAAAATAGTAAATTCTCTGTTAAAACTTTAGAAATTAATAAATAATACAGTCAATATATTACAAAACTGTTTGTTATTAGCTTCGATCTTCTATTTCTATTGTAAAATATATAACTTACCAGCGAAAGTTTCGTGAGTAAACAAATGGTTCGTAAGAAAAAACAGCACAAACGTCAATTTCGTAGTCATATTTCGACTCCGTCTTCAGTGTATAAATCAACTAATTTAATAGAATATTAAAACATATTAACATCAATTAATATAGTCTATAATACGTAAATTATTAATATGATTCTTTAATGTATAAGGCAAATATATAGATAATTTCACGTACCTAGTTAGTTTTCGTGATTGCAGTGCAGTACTCAAAACTTATACTGAGCTTCTGCTACTTATATAATTCATTTTAAACAATAATTCAGTTTTTATTCTTGGTTTATTAAGTTTTTACCAGAAGCTTTTCGAATTGAAGATTAAAATCAATAAATTAATCAGTTTTAATATTAAATCTCTGTGTTTTCTACTGGCAAAGATAATTTATTTTTACTTTTAATTTAAAATATTCATTACTTTCAAAACAGGCAATAAACTTATATCGATTTGTAAATTATATAGCAGTTATATAGAAAATTTAAAATATCGATTATAGTTGCTAAAAAATTTAATTTTCGTTTATTATTTTAATCTAAAGATGAAAGAATTTTTTTATGTGTAATGAAACATTTTGAAATATTTCGTGGAAAATTAATTTTTTATTTTGTCTGTATATACAAAAATAGTTTGGTTATTTATTTTAATTAAAGAATCATACCAAGTTTCATTTAATTCGTACTTATTTAACATTTGCTGAATTATTAGCTGTATTAATTAAACAGAACGTGCTCAGCAAAGAATTAGACTAAGTATAATATCAGATCGCTTTTCTGTTACATTGTGTTACTTTATTAAATCGGTCTCTTAATTAATCTAATTGCAAGATTTAATTAATCAGCATATAGAAGAAAAACATTTCACTACATTTTTTTCTTACATACGAATGGTTTTCTTGATATTATACTGGATAAATTAATAAAAGTTTCATCGTGTGTAGTAATAAATAAAAACAAATTGTTTATAAATGCGTAAATAAGTTTATCTAATGCGACGATAAATATTTCAATTTAGTATAATATATAATTATTTTACTTACCTTTCTTGTAACTCTTCCTACCATTTCAGTCCACGTTCCATTTTCCATTAATCGTCCGAAATATTCTTTCGGACGTTTATGTGTTCTCTTGGTCTGCACCGACCTTCATGCAGAAGGAAAAACAATAATGAAATCGCTATAAATTTTCACCAAATGATAGAAATGCGTTTATAACTCAAAATGATTTCAATATATTGATTGCATGGTCTTAAATATTTTTAATGTTTTTTTATTATAATTCAGATTCTATTACATTCAATATTGCTATTCACGAAACTTACTATTTTTTGAAGTAGGCCATAATTTCTTTTTTAAATTTAGATACCGTGCTGGAATATACAATTGTAGTATTCATATCTAAAAAATATTACAATAGTTGCACAGTTGTAAGTTATTTCAATCGAACATTATTAATAAACTTTATTATAAATTAATGTTTTATCGAGAATAGTGTTATTCAGAATAATGCAAATCTCGTGCTTTTATACAATACTTGGGTTTTATATAATAATTGTCTATTGTGACATCAAAATAAATTTTAAAATTAAAATCATTGTTCACAGTTTGAATAGCTAGAGAACAGCTGTGCATTTTAATAACACAGAAAAATTATAAATAACTGTTTTATATTCTATTTCTCGTAACTTGGGACGTACAGTAAACAAAAAAATGACACATCCGCTTTGTTTATTGGTCGAGCAATTAGAAACCTATTGTTTATATCTATTTAATACAATAGTTGTGTAGTTAAAATTTTTAAATTAAACAATTATAAATACATTTTGTGTAAGTCTTCATAATATATGTTAGACTTTTTTTTTGTTTTTGAAAAACTTTAATTGCGATAAGAACAATTTGGATAACAGGAACGTTTTAAAGAATACCAATTACATAAAAATATTGTGATTATTATGGGAAACAAATGTAGGACTTCTTTTTCGTCTTTTGTCTTTCCGCGCGTTCTTCTTTAACAGTCGTCTCGCTTCTCTCGTGATGTTCTCTTTCTTGTTTTTTTTTAACCGTCGTCTTCTCTCTACTCGACTCCCCCTACCGGCCTCCTTCTTCACCTCTCGTCGGCAGATCGCGTTTCACCCTTTTTCGGAGAGATTAACGAAAGACTAAAAACACTTGTACAAAAAACACATTAAACACAAGAAGAAAGACATGGTTAGAAATGTTCTGGAAAAGTTCTTGATGTCAGTCAAGAACAATGGGCCATGGCTTCATGTGGTCAGCTGCAGTAACAAACACATTGGGTCCTTCATGATGACCAATTTTTTCAACCGCATATCTGTCCCTAGGCATCGTCGAGGTAACTTTGTAAGGTCCAAAAACTTAGGTCTTAGTTTGAGTCCTGTCCCATACTGAGTTCTCTGAATGGCAACAAGATCGTTGACCTGATATTTGGGAGCTGGTATTCTTTTCTTATTGTAGGATTTACGATTTTCCTCCTGTAGTTTCAAGATGTTTTGTTTGGCATCTTCTCGAATCTTGTCTCTATCTTGCATCGTACAATTTAAAAATTCTTCTTCCGCAATCTCTTTTATTCTTAGATCTTGTTTATTTTTCATTTTGGTACCGACCAAAATTTCAAAAGGTGTTTATCTCGTACTACGCGTTGGCGTACTGTTGATGATTCTTTGGATGTCCGAAACATATTTGTACCACTTTGTAGCGTCTTCTTGGGCGAGTTTTTTGCCGAAACGGGGATCAAGGTGTTATACATACGTTCTACCTGTCCATTTCCCCTAGGAATACCTGTGGCAATCGTAATGTGCTCAATCATCTCGTTGGTGCAATAATCGTTAAATTCTTTGGAAGTAAAAGCAGTTCC